TTATTTGAGAACAATGTGCCAACAATATGCAATCTTTTAAAAAAATGATGTGTGGAGGGTGGGAAATGGAACAGATTCTTTTTGGTGACCTATAAAGTCTTTTAAATTTACACATAATTGAAATATAAATATCCTTATAATAATATTAATCAAATAAATATTTTTTTCAAATAAAAAAAACAATACCCACAATGTAGGTCCTACATACTGTATTTTATAAAGAAACATACCTGCACTGTCAACTCCACGAAGGGGATTGCTTTGATCTTAGCAATAGGTCGAGAAGCGATACATAAGATGGAATCTACCTCACCTTTTAAATAAATGTTGTACACCAACTCAAGCGAGATATATCTAAAATGTGCTTAAACTGTTGAGTGATCGTTAAAACTGTACAAACAATGTGCTATACAAAGGTGTAATATAAGCGTCATAAATGACAAATATTAAAGCGTGCTAACAGTGTGTATAAAATGTGACATGCGTAAGATAGACTGAAGCTTTGCAAAATGTCTTTAAACAATGTACTAACATTGTGCAAACAATGTGCTAAAATATAATGTAATATAAGCGTGACATATGACAAATAAAAAGCGTGATGTCAATGTACATAAAGAGTGAAAAAACTTAATTATTTCAAAAAGTGTGAAATTACCACAAAGTAGCGTGTATGTATATTGTTATAAAAGCTTGCACTCCAAATACACACTTATTGCACACTTTTCATGCACGCTTTATTTTCGCCAGGGCCGTTATCATCGTAACCAGAATTCAGCTTTCAATAAGCAGTTGTCAAACGAGTATATAATATATAAGTATTATTACAAAGGAGTGTTTTTGAGGATGAAGCCAAAAAATGTTAAAAATATCGAAAAAAACCTTTGTACAATTTGTTCTGTTGTTGGGTGTTTTTCATAAGTAATATCATAAGGGTATCTAATTTTTCCGAAAATATCGTAAAAAAAACACGTTGCTTAGTAATATTTTAACAAGAAGCATGAGTGCTGGTGAAACAAAAATCCGAGTCGAAGACGAGGATTTTTTCACCTGCACGAATGCATTTTGTTACTATATACCGAAGACTATTTCATGAGTAACAGTTATTCTGCATACACATAGCTTACATGCATACATAATAAATATGTAGGTATTAATTTGAAAACTCTTTTATAGGTAGGTATTTTATTTAATCACAAAATACTACAAACTTAATTTTTTATGATAGGTACAATTAAAAAATAAATTGCAATTTTTGGTGACAACAGCTGTCAAGTTTTGCCGCAGGTAAACTCGAAAAAACTGCTGACAGGTGCTGTCATACAGTTTTTCCACCTAGAAACCATTTGTAATTCAAAATTGCGCGTTTGCGATTGGTGGAAATTAAGACGAGGGAAATAGTCGAGAGAAAATCCTGGGTTGAGTTTATAACGGTTTTCCAATAAACAGTGGATATCCAAATGAAGAATTAAATTGTATACAGTCCTTGTAAATATAAATTGTACCAATTAGATACAATAAATACACATTTTAGTATGATTTACGTGAACATTGTAAACATCAGTAAAAATCATAAAACAAATAAGTGGTCTAAATTCAAACAGTAATATGCATTATTATAAGCGTTAATTAAAAAAGTCTTCACTCAACGGTATAATAGCAAGAACCGGTATTATATTATGTATTAGGGGAGAGTTTGGTAATCGGGCCCATCATATTATTATGGCTGTTAGCGATATGTTTTAGATAACAGTGTATCCATATATGACATATATATATATATATTTATTATATGTAGAATGGGGTCTTTAGTGTTTGTAGATTATTTAAACTCTGTGTTATCTATAGTTAAAGTTGTACGTCTTCTTTTATTATTTATGGCCTTGTAATCTTAGTAAACAGTTATATATAACATAAACTTAAATAATTTCGGTTTAGAGGACTCAAATATAAAAATGTTCGATTTTAAGTGTATGTTCGTACAACAATTATTTTTTGTTAGATTTCTTGAAAATGTCCACACTTAAATATAAATTATATTAGGTAAAGTTATCATTAGTTAATTCTGCACCAACAAATATACGTACCGAATCAGATCCTTTGGAAAAACATGAAAATGCAACGATTTAGTTCTTAAATTTTATTTACAATTTAAAACAATGATTCACCATGGTCACTTAGATAAAATACACACCCTAACGCAACTATATAAGCACATAAGCGCCGAGTCCCTTAAGGTAGTTGTCGTGGTACAATATTGTCAAAAATTGTTAGATTATACGCACCGTAAAAGTATACGAGCTTGTAGCTAAGTGATTCATAATTTTTTCGCAAGAGTGTACCCTGAAGACGTTACCTTTACGTAATACTTTCAAATATTATAAGTTTTAATCCGGCAACGTCGCTTATGCTCAACCAATAGATATATTAGAGACTGAATAAGTCGGTTTGAATTTACTGCGGAAATAATATCTATACTCGCGTACAGCGTTGCCAAGTTGCTTTTATCTGACACTAGTGATGTATACTTTTTACAAATTGTTGAACTTTAAACGGTTATTTATAAACAATTGGACGGTCAAAAATTTTTAATTATTTTTTTTTAAACTCACCAAAAATACATTAAAAGACTGTTAGTTTTTTGAAAGCTTCTGACAGTTAGTTTTTATTTTATAACTAAGAAACTGGTACAGAACTACAGAAAGCGTATATATACGCAATCAATGATAATTATCCAATTTTTAATTGAATTTATCTCGGGTTATAGATGGCAATCGTCTTCAAATTTTAAGGATAATTGTATTGTCATGTCCTTAATACGTATACAAAAATTTAAAATTTTCTGATGGTATCAGCACGACAACTACCTTAATCAATTATATAAGGAAAAATAAATCTAAATCTAGTAAGTATGTATACTAAACCAAAGTTTTGTTAGTTTTTACTTGCAAAGTTGAAACACAAATAACGAGAGCGATTTTTCTGCAGGTCTGCAATTGAACAAAATTGTCTGACTTCCTCTCTTTTGTGAAAAAACTAGTTATTTATTTAAAAATGATGTGCAGTTTGTATGCTTGAATGTAATGTTGACAATTCCTGAATTGTCAACAATGGTATCGAACACCACTAGATGGCGCACGCTTTGCGAAAACCCGATGCTTCTTTAGCGTATTATCTACTTATTGAAGTAGATAAATTATAGTATTAGATTCGAGATTATCAGCATTATTCACTCGGATGATTTAAGTCTCTCGAGGCGCAAACTTAATCCTCGTATAATATCTATGTTAATGGATAAAAATCAATTGACCAATTAATTGTTGTGATAATCAATTCTTACACATCATGTTTCCAAACTTATGCGTATTGTAAAATTAAAAATCCTAAAATGCGATTTCTCAAAACATTAAATCAATCAATTTAAGACTTAAAACAATATAAACATGATAAACATTAGGGTGGAGCGAAAAAAAGAAACATTTTTTTTTCTAGCCTGGGGGTGGAATTTGTAGCCTATAAAAAAAGAAAATTTTTGAAATAAAAAAAAATTTTTTTACTTAACGTCTTGAGGTGGCCCACTGAGTTTTTAAATTAAATTTAAGTTAAAATTCTTTTGAATAAAAAAAAAATTTCAAAAGTGTTCCGGAAACTGCGGAGTGTCCTCTTTCTTGCTAATTAATAGTTATGAACTTAAAAAAAATTTTGTGGTCATTATTGTTGTTTTTAAAAAAATTCCAAAATAGTAACATGCTTTTCTGAGGCAATAGAGCGAATTTCGAGTTGAACACGATCAAATTTGTTTATTTTTAGATAAATTTGGTACAAGCAAAAAAAATTTTTTATTCAAAAGAATTTTAACTTAAATTTAATTTAAAAACTCAGTGGGCCACCTCAAGACGTTGAGTAAAAAAATTTTTTTTTATTTCAAAAATTTTCTTTTTTTATAGACTACAAATTCCACCCCCAGGCTAAGGAAAAAAAAAATTTCGCTCCACCCTAATAAACATATTATTTTTTAATTTAAAACTCAATGTTTACTCTTATATAATGAAGGTAGATACAATTTTCTGGTATTCCTGGGGGCCTGTAGATCATACACCTACAAGGTGGTGCGCGACTTCTGGGACATCTTTACATAGCGTAAATAAATTTTTGTGATAAACCTACATAGTGCAAATAAATTTTTGTGATAAACCTCAAATTGTTTAAAGACACTTTTTTAATAATATAATAAAATTAAACATGGAATATCTACTTTTAATTGCAATACCAACAAACTAACTATATTTTCATATGACCATATTTTACAGATGCATCTACATGTAATAATAACAAAATACATTAAAAGCTGAAATAAAAATACAAAACGAGGAAAGCATGTAAAATAAAATTACACCAAATGTAATCTCATTAAATATAAACGAAATCGTACCTAGGATTCAAATAACTATTTTAATGTATGCAACTTAAATAAAATTCTGAATATTTGATTGGATAATACCCAAAAATAACATATTACCTTTAATTAATTAATTAATCATATATTTATAAAAAGGTATAATTTAAAGTTAAAATCTAAAGGATTATATAAAAATAACAAAATGTAAAAATAAAACAATCCAAGTCAAAAGAATACTAAGAAAAAATTATGTTTTCTTTAAAATCCTAAGAAGTCTTTAGGGACGCATCCTGTGAAATTTAAACCCGATTACAGATCTTACGTTTCTTGAAAATATTTTTAAATTTAATTTCAAGGTCTCTGTAACATTAACATTAATATATATGGCAAGTTTAAACTAATCAATTATTCATAATAAAGTTATTAATTTAATTATTATAAACGTATTGAAATACAAAACTTGGCAATATATAAATGCATAAAATTAATTTCAAATGTTGTAAAAAAACATTAAATTATGCATTTTATTAGTAATCACGTAATTTTGAAATAAATCTAGTTGACCCTAGTGGTTAAAAAAGTGCAGAACATCCTGAAATGTCACGATAAATCCTTTTAACAATTGAAAAACTTGATTCTAATACTTGTCCTTCAAGTCGTTGTGTACTATAAAAGACATTTTTTACCCAGTATCATCATTCACTCCTAGAAGTTTTAAAGATACAGTACCATGAGAGTCCTGTTGGTAAGAATAGTTCCAAATAATTTTAAGATTTAAGTGTAATATTTATTTAATATATAATTTTGTTACTCAGGTTTCCGCCCTTGTGGTCCTTGTGGCCCTTTCTTCTGCCAAGAAAACAGAAGAAAAGAAACGTAGCATCATTGGAGATGGCTCAATATACGGAGGCCACGGTCTTTCTGGACACGGATACTCCAGCCTTTCTGGATTAAACGGCGGATACTCCGCTAACTTGGGAGGTAACGGCTTCTCCTCATACAGCAGCTCTGGATCCCTTGGTGGCGCTGCCGATTTGTCCTACGGCTCTGGAGTAAGCTCTGGCTTTGGCTCAGGCCTCTCTCTTGGCGCTGGTTCTTTGAACATCGGCTCCTCCTCCGCCGGTTTGAGTGCTGGATCCTTGGATCTTGGTGCATCTTCTGCTGGTTTGTCCACTGGATCCATCGGTTTTGGTGCTGGTTCCATCGGAGCTGGTTCTTTAGATCTTGGTGCCTCTTCTGCTGGGTTGAACGCGGGCTCTTATGGTTTTGGAGCTGGTTCCATCGAATCAGCCGGTTTGGGATCTTTTGGTTCCGGATACAGTACATACTCTTCTGGTCTTTCCGGAGGACTCGTAGCTGGTGATGCCGGTTTGGCCACCGCTGGTTTGGGTCTTGGATCTGCCGGTCTTGCTACTAGTGGATTTGCCTCTGGAGTATCCAGTGGATTTGGCGCCGGTATTGCCACCGGAGTTCATGGAGGTGAAACTACCCACACTTCCACCAGGAAAATCACTCAACACGTCAAAGTACCAGTCAACCAACCCTTCCCAGTAACTATCACCAGGACCGTGAAGGTACCACAACCCGTCCACGTACATGTTACCAAACACGTACCAGTTCCAGTTCAACAACGCGTCACTTACAGCGTACCTAAACCATACGCCGTCAATGTACCAGTGCAAGTACCAGTAGCCGTTAAAGTAAACTACCCCGTCGAAGTACCAAAACCATACGCCGTAGTCGTAACCAGAAGAATCGAAGTACCAATCGAAAAACCAGTCATTGTACGTGTACCACACCAAGTACCAGTACCAGTCGCTAAACCATTCGCTGTCAGAGTACCAACTCCAGTAGCCGTCAAAGTACCACAAAGAATTGTCGTCAAAGTACCACAAATTGTCAACTCTGGCGTACAAGCTACCCGCAGCCAATCCGGACATCTTAACTTAACCCCACAAGTCAGTGTACGTCAAGGAGCACCTTTCGCCCTTAACGCTGGATACGGTTCCGGTCTCGGATCCTTCGGATCTGGACTCTCCTACGGTTCTTCTTATGGATCATCCGGACTTTCTGCCGGAATCGCCGATTCCGGTATCTCTGGAATCAGCTCTGGATTCGAAAGTGGTATCTCTGGAATCAGCAGCGGAATCTCTGGAGTCAACTCTGGATACGAAAGCGGTATTTCTGGAGTCAACTCCGGAATTTCTGGAATCAACTCTGGATTCGAAAGTGGAATCTCTGGAGTCAGCTCTGGTATCTCTGGAATTAGTGGTGGAATCTCTGGAATCAGTTCCGGATATGAAAGCGGAATCTCCGGAATCAGCTCTGGAATCTCTGATGCCTCCTACGGCTCTGGATCTCTTTTGGCATCTGGAGTAGGAAGCGCTGACTTCTCTGGAATCTCTGGAGGTTTCTCCGGCATCTCTTCCGGAATCTCTGGCATTTCCTCCGGAATCGCTTCTGATGCTTCCTACGGATCTGGATTCAGCAGCGGAATCGTAAATGCCCATGATGATTCCGTTTCCGTAGACTCTGCTCGTTCCGGATACGGTTACCATCACCAAGTTGCTCGTAGCACCAAAACTGAGAAACACTAAATCCAATATTTGTTAATAAAACCTTAAGATAAAATATTACTTTTTTGTTTTTTTAACGGGGTCAATTTCCAATATAAGCACACTTTTTAAAATACTAAATTTTTATAAATTTGTTCTAAAAATTATATATATTAAGAAATATTGAACAATACGCGTTTAAAAAAAATTTAATGTGCCTACCCAATGTAATATGTAAATGTTATAATAATGTTTATTTTAACTTGACCAATGTTGACTCATTTATCTATATTTATAACTTTGTTTATAAATTTAAATTTAAATTTGAACGAATCAAACTAATTAGTTTAACTCCCTACCAAATTATTTTTTTAAAACTTAATATTATGTATATTATTTTAATAATGTACAAGCTCTATCCGATATAAGTTGGCCCAGAGCTGTTTTTTTAATTTTAGCCTTCAATAGATTTTTACTTAAATGCTCCTAATACTTATGTAACCAACTAATCCTAGCAACTAGGAAAAATTTTAATTGACAAACTTCTCTCGTAGCGGCCACATTTGCTACCGATGTAGCTGTAATAAATTGTTGGTTTGTGCGAAAACTTCGTAAAAAAGTTTAAAAGTAATTTTATAGATGTGTTATACCGGGTGAGTTTTTTAAAGTGTTACAAAGAGATATTTTAAAAAGGTTTTAAATTTTTTTTGTGAAATTATAGTAAACTAATAGAGAATTGGGGGAAATTTAAAAAAAATTTTGACACTGGGGACTAAATCCTTAGTTATGTTGTAGATATTTTAGTACCCGGCGCCGTTCCTTTCAACACAGCAAAATTTCCCATCATTTGCAACCTCTGGGTTTATTACTCCTTTACCTCTCCTTTATCTTTATAAATTAAATCTAAAAATATAATAGACTTTATTACTTTTTGGATTTTTGCCTCGTTTTAAATATTTTCTACCTACTTCCTAGCCTGGCCAACGATGGGGGACGAGGGAGCCTGGTGCACCAGGAAGATCTAATCCTAATTCTTCGCCTCTCAAAATAGGAAAATGGGGTAGATGTCAAAAATATGTTTAAATATTTTTAAATATGTTCTCCCACCTCTCTATTAGTCTACATATATTTTACAAAAAAATTTAAACCGTTTTCCAGATTACCCCTGAAACAGTTTAAAAAACTCACCCGGTATATGTATGTAGATAATAAAAATTACTTCATCGTTCTTTTTTAGAATAATATACCTACCTAAAATGTTCTAGTAAGACCAACGTTTTCGGACATCTAAGTCCATGTAGGGTAGGGTGGTGCGAAATATGAATATGAACGCTTGTATATTAAAAACTTGTGTATGATAAAAATAAATATTTTGGTGAAAACAAAATATTTTTAATTCCTTCCACCGCCCCAGAGCTATCCTAAATATAAAAACTATAATATTCAGACGAAGGTAAAAAACGGTTATAATTTTTTTAGCCAAGATTTTTTTAGGGCATAATTTTTACAAATTTGGGCAAATTGATTTTCAAAAAAAAACAAGCTAAATGGGGCCCCGATCAATTTTAAAACTACAAAAATTTTCTTATTTGACATTGACTGGACCCCCATTTCGCTTGTTTGTTTTTTGAAAATTAAAGTGCTCAACTTTGTAAAAGTTACTTATGCTTTAAAATAACCAAAATGGCGCAAAAAAAATTATATTTATATTACTACCTACCGTTTTTTGCTCCAGCTCAAACATATGTTATTATTATGATATAATATTAATATTATAATTTTTATGTTTGCCATGGCTCTGTGGCAGTGGAAGGAATTTAAATATATATATTTATATATAAATATACAGGGTGTCCCAGAACTCGCGCCACAGAGAAAAAGGGGGCGTGCCGATAGCAATGGAGATGCCAAATTTAAAAATAAAAAATTTCTAGGTAATAGTGTAATCGAATGAGAGCAAAAAAGCGGCAGCCAATACCGAGAGCTCTCGCCTAGGTTAAACGTAAGAGCTTTAAAAATTGCTAGGAGACGATTGAACCTTGTTGTATTAAAAACATTTAAAAATCTTTTGGCCAACTGTATTTACTAAGTTGTCAAAAGCTTTCAAAAATGAGGTTATTAATCTATGACTTATACTTCAGAACGCCAATGTTTTAAAATAACGATTAGGAAAGGGCTGGGAAAAAACTCGCGTTGTCTCCCTGGCGTTGCGCCCACACTAAATAAATAAATAATTATCATTTCAGTATAATCATCTAAGGAAAACATTATTTATAATAACTTAATTTATATCCTAATATAATATTAATGACAGGAGTTTGACAGCAGTGTCACAATGAATTGGATTCCACACCGAGAAAAATAATTTAAGACCATCTTTAAGATTCTTAATAACCTTATTTAAGATATCGCAGTAAAATAGGGGACATTAAGACCGTTTAAATACCATTAATAGATTCAATTTAATAACTATACTTTGTGACCATCAATAGGCAAACTTAATACAATTATCATAAGACCATCAAAAGTTTTTATATCGGCCATTAATATATATCTTATAAGGGTTAATATATTATTTTAGGATCATCTTAATATCACTTAAATATCTTCTTATGACATCTTAATATGATCCTAAATTGGTACATATATGGCAAATAAATAATCTTATAATGGTAAATATATTATTTTATGATCATCTTAATTCCATCCTAATATCCTCTTATGCTATCTTAATATGATCCTAAATATATTTATTTGCCATAATAATATGCTATAGCTATCATATTAAGATGGCCTATTTACGGCAATAGTTTAATTTTATTATAAATGGAGCTGCACCATGGTATAAATAAACGAAAATAAATCTTAAAAGCATTATTTCTACTAAAAGTAAAGTCTTGAAAATAAAATAAAGCCCCAACGCGAAAAAATGCATTAAAAGGTTGGATTTTCATTTTAGTCTTCGAGTACTTGAACATAATTTTGGCATTCATTTTTATTTTATTTAAAAAAATCATTAACACCATTATTTTCATCAATTGGAGCACTCCAACCTAAATGTTTATAAAAAAATCAGAAAAAAATATCGCAATTAGCATAAATTAATGCTTTATTTATTATTATTTATTTATTTCCTAAAAAAATAAGGAATTCCTTATTTTTTTAGTAAATAAAATAGAGATAAATACCGAAATTATTTTTACTAGACGACCTTATTAGTGCATTTTCTGCAATGGGACTTTATTTTCATTTTCAAGACTTTACCCAGGTAGCACACTGACGTTTATATGACGTTGAAATGACTTTGCTAACGTCATTTTAACGTCAGCATACGTCAGTGTGCTACCTGGGTACTTTTAGTAGAAATATTAATTAATAATACTTTTAAGGATTATTTCCATTTACCCTAAAAAGAAAGATAACAATTGAGCTTTAAAAAAATTAAACTATTTCAGCAGATAGGCCATCTTAAAATTATAACTTTATACATGTAGGTATAATTAAATAATAAATTAAGGAATCAAAGCCAATATTCTGACCTATTAAAAATCTTGGTAATCTTTCTCAAGCTGGTTTATTTATAAATATGGTACCTAATAATAATAAATTGTAAACATTTTACCAAAAATATATTTCAGATTTTACCAATATCCTATAAAAAAAACTTCAAAGCATACATTTATAAAAGTATCTTCAACATATTAAATACAGCATGAATTTTTTAAATGTTTAATGCAGGGACCCCGGAAACTAGAAATAAATTGAACCTACCTTCAAATCCTTTAACAAAATCACTGAGCCCCCATTCAAGCAGAGTAACTTTGAAAGCCATTACTATGTTCTGTAAAATTACCGCAAAACAATTGTGAAGAAACGCCCTTTTTCTTCTATAAACGATTCAATATTATCCTCAATTTCCCGTTAACAAGTGAGAAATAATAAATGACGCTTCCACAGAGGACGCTGTTCTGTGCTATGGACGCTAGTTAAACGATTGGTCGATTCGAGTATAGTCGGAAAGCCGAATCTGTTAGTTAGGTAGATGAGTTTGTTAAGGCCATTATACAACTCCCAAGTAACATTTTTAGTTTTATATTAGGTTTAGGAAGGTAACCATCACTAACTTATATAACTTAAGGTCATATTTAATAGTCAGGAGAAATTGTTTATGCCAATTATAAAAGCGTTATAGGCCTTAAATGGCCTAGTTTATAACTGTTTTCTTAGTAACTACAATGACCTAGAGTACGCTACTGATAGTAGAGAACACCTTAAAAAAACCTTTATAAAACTAACCCAGTAACTACTATAAAACTTAAAGTAAGGTCTTAACTGGTTACCTTTACCTAAATAGAACCAGTACTAAAAGTTATATAATATTTCCGGTAACCTTTAAGGAACTGCAGTACATACATTGATCCCGGGAAGGGGCGCATGCATGCTTTATAT